CCTCGTCCCCGCCGGGCAAAAATGACTCAGTTAAAGGGCCCTCACAAAAAAAAAGACCGCATTTTGACATTTCTGTGATTCGATTAACCTCAAAATTTGAATAAGCAAGGATTTGGGCAGGATGCGGTGGAATGCATGCAACTTAATGGTCTCAAACATTCCTATTTTTTACTTATTTTACCTGTTTTCAATTACCTATTTCCAGTTTGTGCCTTAATAGGTACTGATTCACTTATCTCCTTGTTCTCTAATTTCCGCATGTAATTTCTAATTTCATTTCCAATTTTGATTTTTTTATTCTCTGTTCAACTTGTATTTTGCCCACAAAACCACTATTCTATGATAGAAAATTATTTCAAAATCAGGGAAAAATAAGTGATTTTTAACCAAAAAAAAAAGAGAGAAAAATCTGCGCAAGTACATAAGGCAGAAATCGAAAACGATTAAAAAAATTGCTAAAATTTTCTCAATTTCGTTCCCAACGAAAATTTGCTTCGAAACAAGTAATCATTTTTTTCTTACGCATATCTGTTTAACGAAAAATGTATAATATTTCCTCTCATTACTATGGAATTACTCAATTTTTTAGATAAAATCAGCTACTGTATGTTTCTTAACTACAAAATTTGCCCCCCCTCCCCCTCCTCCCCGAGAGTTGCTTTTGCAAATAGTTCTTCGGTATTTTTAGTAACTTTGTGTTTTGTTGTATTCTGCCTGTTGGCTTTCTATTACGTTATATGCCAGAGGGATTTTGTGAGGGGAAAAAGAGTCAAAAAACCGATTTTTTATCAAAAAACCAATTTTTAGGAGATGCAAAAAATGTCCATTTTCAATTGGTAACAGTTTGGAGAGCCAAAAATTACCAATTTTTCACTGCTAGCAGAATCACCGATAGTTCGAGGAAAAAAAAACAAGTTTTACCCATGAACGGAAGCCATTCAGGCCTAAATAAACAAAACAAAGACAGAGAAAGTCAACAAATTTCGTAAAACCGGTTAACTGAGCACAAATCTTCATAATGTCGATAAATCTTTCGATAACGCTGCTGTCTTCTTTTTTAGTTCATCTAAAAATAAAAAACAAATAAATCTAAGTGTTTTTCTAAAAAATAAAATAAATTTAAAAAAAAAACAAATCAAAAATAAACCCAAATTTTATAAAAAAATCTAAAAAAAACAAGAAAAAAAAACATCTGCTCAGAATCCTTCCTCAGTACACATTACAGTAATAATGAGGTCTCTTATCGTCTATAAGTTTTTTTGCCCTTCATTTTCAAATAATATAATACAAAAATTAATTAAATTCGTGCGCGAGAACGAAAAAAAACCTCACCGGTTTGCTCATCGATCCATTGCAAAGCATCGAGTTGTCGTCGTAAAATTTGGGCAATCTGCTCCACTGTTTCCGCCTGTTCATCACCACCATTGCTGACTTTTTGAAGCTCGGTCATCTTAAATTTTACCGCTAACTGATTCTCAAATTCAGCATTTTCGTATTCATTTCAATAAAAAATATTCATTTCATGTTTCTTTCTATTCATTTCAGTAAAAAAGAGAAAATAGAAAAAATAAAAAAACGTAATAATGCTGCATCATGATTCCCTCCTAGGTAGGTCGTGTATTGGCACCGTATCTGTATTGTAAAATAGTGACGTTTCACAGCAGTGCGTCGATCCAGTGGAGTTTCGACCCAGTGTAGTGCTGTGGTATTGTGGACGACTTACGAGGGACTGAGACCCTGCTGCTACCCCAAGTTATCGCCGAGGAGCCGACGACCCGATTCGATACACCAGAGCATCGGGCCGGTAAACCCAACAATAAGAAAATAAAAAAGTAAAAAAAGTGTCAAAAAAAGTGGTCAAAAGGTGAAAAAGTTCTTTTTTTGATAAAATACTGGGGAAACACGTATGTTCTACTTGATAAATAAATGTTCTGTATCGTGTAAATCGGATGGAAAATACCGGATTTAAGAAATTAAAATTTTCCACATAACAATAACTGTATGGTAAAGATAATTTAATAAATATTTTACAAGATAACTGTCAAACACACATACACATACCACACACACACATTCATACACATACACACACACATACACCACACACACACG